TGCACACACACGCACACACATATGCACACACATGCACACACGCATGCACACACACGCACAGAAAAAAGACCCCATAGTTCACAATCTTACAGTCTTGGTGTGACAGGTCCAAACCAACCTACCCTCCTTCCTTCCATCCCTCCCTCCTTCCCTCCCTCCCACCTTCCCTCCTTCCTTCCATCTCTCCCTCCTTCCCTCCTTCCTTCCATCCCTCCCTCCTTCCCTCCCTCCTTCTTTCCCATTCCCTCTTCTTCTTTCCCTCCTTCCCATTCCCTCTCTTCTTCCCTCCCTCCTTCTTCCCATTCCCTCCCTTCCTTCCTCCCTCCCTCCCTCCCTCCCACCCTCCCTCCCTTCCTTCCTTCCTTCCTTCCTTCCTTCCTTCCTTCCTGTCCTTCCTTCTTTCTCCCTCCCTCCCTCGGTGCGCAGGGCGGTGTGTGGGTGCCCGGCCCCCCATCTTCACCCTCTCCCTCCCCCATCTCCCCTGGACGCAATGGGGACGAACCCGACCTCTCTCAGGTGGTCCCCTGGCCACCGGAGCCCCGCACGGCGGACAGACCAGCCAGAGCCGCCCCGTCGGAGCCCCGCGCCCCCCCCCCCCCGCCTGCACCTTCGGGGTGCCCCCCCCCCGCCCGCACCTTCGGGGTGTCCCCGCCCGCACCTTCGGGGTGTCCCCCCCCCGCACCTTCGGGGTGTCCCCCCGCACCTTCGGGGTGTCCCCCCCCGCACCTTCGGGGTGTCCCCCCCCCGGCCCGCACCTTCGGGGTGTCCCCGCCCGCACCTTCGGGGTGTCCCCGCCCGCACCTTCGGGGTGTCCCCCCGCACCTTCGGGGTGTTCCCCCCCCCCGCACCTTCGGGGTGTCCCCCGCACCTTCGGGGTGTTCCCCCCCCGCACCTTCGGGGTGTCCCCCCGCACCCTCGGGGTGCCCCCCGCCCGCACCTTCGGGGTGTCCCCCCGCACCCTCGGGGTGCCCCCCGCCCGCACCTTCGGGGTGTCCCCCCGCACCCTCGGGGTGCCCCCCGCCCGCACCTTCGGGGTGTCCCCCCCGCACCTTCGGGGTGTCCCCCGCCCGCACCTTCGGGGTGTCCCCCCGCACCTTCGGGGTGCCCCCCGCCCGCACCTTCGGGGTGCCCCCCGCCCGCACCTTCGGGGTGTCCCCCCGCACCCTCGGGGTGCCCCCCGCCCGCACCTTCGGGGTGTCCCCCCGCACCTTCGGGGTGTCCCCCCCCCGCACCTTCGGGGTGCCCCCCGCACCTTCGGGGTGTCCCCCCCGCACCTTCGGGGTGCCCCCCGCCCGCACCTTCGGGGTGTCCCCCCGCACCTTCGGGGTGCCCCCCGCCCGCACCTTCGGGGTGTCCCCCCCCCGCACCTTCGGGGTGCCCCCCCCGCCCGCACCTTCGGGGGTGTCCGGGGCGTCCGGGAGGTCCGGGAAGTCCGGCGCGTCCGGCGCCCCGCGCCCCGCGGCCCAGGTCAGCAGCAGCGGCAGCAGCAGCAGCGGCGGCGGCGGCCCGGGGCGCCCCGACATCGCTCTGCCCGCGGCCGGGAAGTCGGCGCGGCGGCCGCGGCCGGGCGGGGCGCCGGGCGGGGCGGGGGTCGGGCGCCGCTCCGCCTCCGCCTCGGCCTGGACCGCGCCCCCGCCCGCCGCCGCCCGCCGCCCGGACATTGTGAAGTCGGGGGCCCGGGGCCCATTGTGAAGTAGGCCGGCCCCCTCCGTGCCGGCCCCGCCCCGCCCAGGCCGGAGCCAGGACCCCAGCCAGGACCCCCAACCCCCAGCCAGGACCCCAGCCAGGACCCCCAGCCCCCAGCCAGGACCCCAGCCAGGACCCCAGCCAGGACCCCAGCCAGGACCCCCAACCAGGACCCCCAACCAGGACCCCAGCCAGGACCCCCAACCAGGACCCCAGCCAGGACCCCAGCCAGGACCCCAGCCAGGACCCCAGCCAGGACCCCCAACCAGGACCCCCAGCCAGGACCCCAGCCCCCAGCCAGGACCCCAGCCAGGACCCCAGCCAGGACCCCCAACCAGGACCCCCAGCCAGGACCCCAGCCAGGACCCCAGCCAGGACCCCCAACCAGGACCCCCAGCCAGGACCCCGGCCAGGACCCCAGCCAGGACCCCAGCCAGGACCCCCAACCAGGACCCCCAGCCAGGACCCCAGCCCCCAGCCAGGACCCCAGCCAGGACCCCAGCCAGGACCCCCAACCAGGACCCCCAGCCAGGACCCCAGCCAGGACCCCAGCCAGGACCCCCAACCAGGACCCCCAGCCAGGACCCCAGCCAGGACCCCAGCCCCCAGGGAGGACCCCAGCCAGGACCCCAGCCAGGACCTCCAGCCCCCAGCCAGGACCCCAGCCAGGACCCCCAACCAGGACCCCCAGCCAGGACCCCAGCCAGGACCCCCAACCAGGACCCCCAACCAGGACCCCAGCCAGGACCCCCAGCCCCCAGCCAGGACCCCGGCCAGGACCCCAGCCAGGACCCCAGCCAGGACCCCCAACCAGGACCCCCAGCCAGGACTCCAGCCCCCAGCCAGGACCCCAGCCAGGACCCCAGCCAAGACCCCCAACCAGGACCCCCAGCCAGGACCCCAGCCAGGACCCCAGCCAGGACCCCCAACCAGGACCCCCAGCCAGGACCCCAGCCCCCAGGGAGGACCCCAGCCAGGACCCCAGCCAGGACCCCCAGCCAGGACCCCAGCCAGGACCCCAGCCAGGACCCCCAACCAGGACCCCCAGCCAGGACCCCAGCCCCCAGCCAGGACCCCAGCCAGGACCCCAGCCAGGACCCCCAACCAGGACCCCCAGCCAGGACCCCAGCCAGGACCCCAGCCAGGACCCCCAACCAGGACCCCCAGCCAGGACCCCAGCCAGGACCCCAGCCCCCAGGGAGGACCCCAGCCAGGACCCCAGCCAGGACCTCCAGCCCCCAGCCAGGACCCCAGCCAGGACCCCCAACCAGGACCCCCAGCCAGGACCCCAGCCAGGACCCCCAACCAGGACCCCCAACCAGGACCCCAGCCAGGACCCCCAGCCCCCAGCCAGGACCCCGGCCAGGACCCCAGCCAGGACCCCAGCCAGGACCCCCAACCAGGACCCCCAGCCAGGACTCCAGCCCCCAGCCAGGACCCCAGCCAGGACCCCAGCCAGGACCCCCAACCAGGACCCCCAGCCAGGACCCCAGCCAGGACCCCAGCCAGGACCCCCAACCAGGACCCCCAGCCAGGACCCCAGCCCCCAGGGAGGACCCCAGCCAGGACCCCAGCCAGGACCCCAGCCAGGACCCCAGCCAGGACCCCCAACCAGGACCCCCAGCCAGGACCCCAGCCCCCAGCCAGGACCCCAGCCAGGACCCCAGCCAGGACCCCCAGCCCCCAGCCAGGACACCAGCCAGGACCCCAGCCAGGACCCCCAGCCAGGACCCCAGCCAGGACCCCCAGCCAGGACCCCCAGCCCCCAGCCAGGACCCCAACCAGGACCCCAGCCAGGACCCCAGCCAGGACCCCAGCCTGGACCCCCAACCAGGACCCCAGCCAGGACCCCCAGCCAGGACCCCCAGCCCCCAGCCAGGACCCCAACCAGGACCCCAGCCAGGACCCCAGCCAGGACCCCCAGCCAGGACCCCAGCCAGGACCCCCAGCCAGGACCCCCAGCCCCCAGCCAGGACCCCAACCAGGACCCCAGCCAGGACCCCAGCCAGGACCCCAGCCTGGACCCCCAACCAGGACCCCAGCCAGGACCCCCAGCCAGGACCCCCAGCCCCCAGCCAGGACCCCAGCCAGGACCCCAGCCAGGACCCCAGCCAGGACCCCAGCCTGGACCCCCAACCAGGACCCCAGCCAGGACCCCCAACCAGGACCCCAGCCAGGACCCCCAGCCAGGACCCCCAGCCAGGACCCCAGCCAGGACCCAGCCAGGACCCCAGCCAGGACCCCCAGCCAGGACCCCAGCCAGGACCCCCAGCCCCCAGCCTCAGCCAGGACACCCCCAGCCCCTAGGCCCAGCCAGGCCCCCAGCCCCCAGCCAGGACCCAGCCCCATCCAGGCCCCCCAGCCCCAGCCAGGCCCCCAGCCCCCAGCGAGGACCCCTGGCCCCCAGCCAGGACCCCCAGCCCCAGCCAGGCCCCCAGCCCCCAGTGAGGACCCCTGGCCCCCAGCCAGGACCTCCAGCCCCCAGCCAGGCCCCCCTGACCCCAGCCAGGACCCCCAGCCCCCAGCCAGGACCCCCAGCCAAGACCCCCAGGCCCTAGCCAGGACCCAAGCCCCCAGCCAGGACCCCAGCCAGGACCCCAGGCTCCAGCCAGACCCCCCAGCCCCCAGCCAGGCCCCCCAGCCCCCCAACCCCCAGCCAGGCCCCCAGCCAGACCCCCAGCCCTGAAGCTGCTGCTGAGTCCGCTGAGAACTCACTTTTCTTCTCAAAAGCACAAGGAGAAAGGCCCTGTCACCCGGGGGTTCCCAGGAGGCCAAGACCCGAGGATTGCGGGCCGAGGCCAGCCTGGGGAAAGAAAGGCCCTGAGGCCCTGATCTCCAGAGAACCACCAGAAAACCAGAAGTGGCGCCGTGGCTCATGTGGTAGAGCACCAGCCTTGAGTGAAAGAGCTCAGGGACAGCGCCCAGGCCCTGAGTTCAAGACCCAGGACCAACCAAAACAACAACAACCCCCCCTTAGCTTCCAACACACACACACACACACACATACACACACACACACACACACACTGCCTTTAGACAAACCAAAAGCCAGGAGTTCACAGTGCATTTTAATGGCGATCAGGGATTGAAAATGGAATCAGGACGATTGAAATACAAAGAAATCCACGCGTACAGAAAGGGGGACAAAGCACCAGAAAACAAAACAAAAACAAACTGGGGGGTGGGGGGAGACATTATAGGAACTTTGTCACAGAGTTCCTCCACTAAACCCCACAGATTCTTGGGGTCTCCCCCCAGAGGCTGGGGTTGTACCTGGGGTAGGGAACCCGCATACCCCCTCCCACGGCGCAGGTCTAGAAATAGGTGTCGTGCTGGTCGGGGGTGCTGAGGTGCAGGTACTCCAGCCCGCTGCCCTTGTAGCTGGCCACGCGCCGGGGCCTCGGCCGCTGCAGCCCGGCCGCCCGCCGCCGCTGCAGAGCGCTCACGATCAGGTCGGAGAACTCGGCCTGCAGGCGCTGCTGGTTCTCCCTGGAGGGGGGGGAAGGAAGGGGGGAGGGTCACCCCAGGGGTCCTCCAGAACGCCAGTTCACGGGCTCAAGGCCTGGTCCACCCCAGAGGCTGGAAGCCCCAGAGATGGCTCAGAGAAGGCGGCTTTGGCATGAGCCCTCCTCTCTCCCTCTCTCTCCCTCTCTCTGTCTCTCTCTCTCTCTCTCTCTCTCTCTCTCTCTCTCTCTCTCTCTGTGTCTCTCTCTGTCTCTCATTACATACATAAGCTCTATATGTCATTCTATATTGCTAAGTAGATATAATTATATTATTACACATCATATACAATTATATGCAATTATATTGTTATATGTAATTACATAGTTATAGCTTATATTAGATATAATCGACTTTACTTATAATTAGCTGGAATATATACAATTTAGAATAAGGTACAACATAAGGTTATATAGATAATCTATAACATAGATATATTATAGATATATAGACATATAATATAGATACTATATGATGTATAATATAAATATGATATATCACATATAACCAAGATATTACATATGATATGTAATTATATAACATACAGCAATGCATCATAGTTTACAGGTATGTAGTTATGTATAGGTATAATATATACTATACTCTAGCTATATAGTTACATTTGGCTATAATATATGCTATATTACAGCTATATCGTTATATTTGGATATGATATAAACTATAGTCTAGCTATAGTTATATTTGGCTATAACATATACTATGTTATAGCTACACAGTTATATTAGGGTATGATATTAAACTATATTATAGCTATACGTGGGCATGATATATACTGTAGTCTGGTTATACTGTTGCATATAGGTATAATAATATATAGTATATAAGGTGTGTAACACACCGAAGACAGACATATTTAACTGGACAGTTAGAAGCGGTCCTGTCAGAATGCAGGAGAAAGGCACGCAGGCAAACATGAAGGCGCGCTCCATGGAAGGTTCCAGATGGTTCTCCTCGGGCCTCCTTCCCAGGGAAGGGTGTCTGGGTACCGTGTCTGACCACAGCAGCCCAGGCTAGGGGGGCATTTTGTGGGTGGGTGGGTGGAGGCCTCGAGCTCCTCGGTCAGTCCCCAAGTCCGGGGTCCCCTCAGCCCGTGTGCCCCTCAGCCTCGCACCCCGGGGCCCAGCGGGGGTCCCCTCAGCCCCACACCCCGGGGACCGGTCACCCCGCACTCACACGGTGGGAGGGGGCGGCAGGTTGTACTCCTGGTCCTTCATGCCCGTCAGCCAGTAGGTGGTCTCCGTCCCTCGGCCCTGGGGAGGGAGACAGGGGTCCCCTGGAATACCGCACCCCAGAACCCCAGCCCCAGGCTCCCACAGGAACTGTATCCAAGGGGGAAGGGACAGGTGACCTGTCCCTTCCACACACACACACACACACACACACACACACACACACACACACACACACGTTTATTTCCAGATGTCTTCGGAAAACCAATCGATCAATCAATCAATCAATCTCTCACCAGATTGGTTTTTGCCAAACTAGTATTCTCCTTTGCCTCCAAATGATCGATTAATCGCTCAAAACCCCTCCCATGTGAACACCGATCGTTGGGTTATGCCAGCTAATCAGCGCTTTAGGCTGCTGTTGGTGGTGGTTGGGTTTCATTTTCTTTCACCAGAAAGTTCTGGTTCCACACTTTTGTGATCGGTCCTCCGACCTCACGCGTGTGAGTTATAAACACGAGTGCACACCGATCAGAAAGCCTGAAGTGTGTTCATGGTCTAGTTCCTCTGGGGGCTAGAAAACGGACAGAGCAGGGCTGGGCAGGTGGCTCAGTGGTAGAGCGCTGGCCTCACAGGCTGGGAGCCCTGGGTTCGATTCCTCAGTATACATCCACAGAAAAAGCTGGAAGTGGTGCAGTGGCTCACGGGGTAGAGCACCAACCTTGAGCAAAAGGAAGCTCAGGCCCTGAGTTCAAGCCCCAGGATTGGAAAAAAAAACTATATATAACTGTATGTATGCAATGGCTACACACATATGTATTTATAAAATCACTTCATATATACACATGCAATCTGCAAACCACTGATGGCTTGGAGGAAAATGCTTCTGCCTAGAAAACATTTTAGGGTTTCATTTTTCCCTGGAATATGCATTTATGGACGATTCAGACAGCGTGCCGTTAGGACATTTTTATGTTGGGGTTGGATCGCAGCTTGTTCCCAGCACGGGCTTTCCAGCCGGGACCAGTGGCTCACGCCTGTAATCCTAGCTACTCAGGAAGCTGCCATCTGCAGTGCTGAGGTTCTGAACGCCTCTAGTTCTAATCAGCCAGCCAAAAAAAGCTGGACTGGAGTCTTGATCCAAGAGGTGGAGCACCAGCTGTGAACAAGAAAGCTGAGCCAGACGAGCGTGAGGCCCAGAGTTCAAAGTTCTGGTTCTGGCACCAAAACAGAGATACAGCTTCTTGATCTACGCTCACTCCCCGCCCCCCCAGGCCTCTCCCCCTGGACCATTTGCACAAGCAGAACATTTGTACAAGTGTTTGGAAACGTGAGCTGGTGTGCAGCCGCACCGGGCAGTCCCACCGGTCTAGGGCACTCAGAGGAAGAGATGCGACCACAGGCTGGGCCTGTTGCAGTGCATCGGGGGAAGTTGAGGAAACTCAGGGGAAGTGAGGACGAGGGGTGGGCCCGCTCTGCCTGGCCGCACCCAGAGCTCCTGGGTGGGAGCCGAGTTGGAGGAGGAACCTGCCACCCTTAGAGCCCAGCCCTGAGTTCAAAACACCCCAGGGGCTTTAAAACAAACTATTTGAATGCAGGAAGTTCTGGGTTTGGATGCTTCTGGAAGGTTTCTCGTCCTGGTAAGCTGGATGGCTGTGGAGAACCCTGTACTGTCCAGCCAGGTCTGCAGGGTGGGGGTGGGGGATCACGCCGGCCCCCAAATCTTCATGTTGCATCGCCTTACCTTTAAGTAGGTCTCTCCTCGCTCTTCGTACAGGAACCGGCTCTGCGTTCTCTTCAAGATGGCCACCGTGGAGCTGCTCATGTGAATCCTCAGGGCTGGACGGGGTGGGGCCGGTGATGAGGGCCGCATGGGGCCTGGCTCTGGGGCTCTGATTGCCTCCTCCGACCCCCAAATACCCAACGCCCAGCACACCATCCCAATCACAGCCAGGGAACCCTAAAAAGATCCCGCCTGCCATCCCAGCTACCCAGGAAGCTGAGATCTGAGGATCACAGTTCAAAGCCAGCCTGGGCAGGAAAGGCTGTGAGACTCTGATCTCCAAGGAACCACCAGAAAACTGGAAGTGGCACTGTGGCTCAAGTGGTAGAGCACCAGCCTTGAGTGAAAGAGCTCAGGGACAGCGCCCAGGCCCCGAGTTCAAGCCCAGGACCGACAGACAGACACACACCACAAATCACATCAGCCTCACAACAGTGATCATTAAGCAATCCCAGGGGTTGGCCGTTTAGCCTTTCCTTCATGGGTGCCTCGTTCCCAGTGTCCTGGGCCCCACATTAGACCCACAGCCTCCCAGGCCTCCCGCTTCTTACGGAGGCCGGTGGACTCCATCCTAGAGGCTGTGTTGACTGTGTCTCCAAACAGACAGTAGCGGGGCATCTTGATTCCCACAACTCCCGCAGCACAGGGGCCTGGTGAGGAAGAAGGGAGGCTGGAGGTGAAGGCCAGGCAGGGCCCGATTGGAGGCTGGAGGTGGAGGCCGCGGAGGGGCAGAGTGGAATCAGGATGGGGTGTGTCTTGGCTGAGGGGTGCCCTGCTCTGACAGTCTGTGTGTGTGTGTGTGTGTGTGTGTGTGTGTGTGTGTGTGTGTGTGCAGGTGTGTAGGGATGGCACTGGGTTTTGAACTTGGAGCTTTGAGCTTGCCCGCTTGAGCCACGCCTCCGGTGTGTTTCAGAGGCAAAGCCAAGCTAACACATGCAGGGAACACACGGCATGCAGAGCCTGGGGAGCTGAGGTTCCTGGGAGGCCAAGCCAGGACTCAGGCCGGAGTCCATGGCAAAGGGGTCGCTGGTGAGGGATCGCACAGAGGCGTGCTCGGGATTTCACACAAGGAAAGTAAATTCTCCCGGCAATGATAGCTGTTCAATAACCAGAGTGGGCTGTGCTGGAGACCATACGTTTCCAGGGTCCCCGGGTGCATTGTTATTGGCCTTGGGACCAGTGTGCTTTGCAGAGGATTGAGAGGGATTGCTAGAGATTATTTTTAATTCCTTTCCAACACTTTTCCTATAATACCTGTAATTAATTTACAGGTATTCTGAATCTTCACCTATGATACCTTAAATCTCTGTGAACGCTGGCTGTTAAATGAACTAAATTTGGCCCCTGGCTTAAGCCCTAACACCTCCCAGGTATGGAAAACACCAGATGCTTAATTTGGACAAACATCTGATTCTCAGCCACATAGGACACAGAGGCTCAGCCAATCACAAGCTGCTAATTGATTAAACCACCCAGAGGCTCAGCCAATCACAAGCTGCTAATTGATTAAACCACCCAGAGGCTCAGCCAATCACAAGCTGCTAATTGATTAAACCACCCAGAGGCTCAGCCAATCACAAGCTGCTAATTGATTAAACCACCCAGAAGCTCAGCCAATCACAAGCTGCTAATTGATTAAACCACCCAGAGGCTCAGCCAATCACAGGCCGTTAATTGATTAAACCACCCAGAGGCTCAGCCAACCACAGGCCACTAATTCATTAAACCACCCAGAGGCTCAGCCAATCACAGGCTGCTATTATTGATGAAAGCAACCAGAGGCTCAGCCAATCATAGGCTGCTAATTGAGCAAACCACCCAGAGGCTCAGCCAATCACAGGCTGCTAATTGATCAAACCATACCCAAAGGTTCAGCCAATCAGAGGGTGTAGCCAACCAAGCGCTTTCTCAACTTCTTCCTCTTCCTCTTTTACTTCTTGTTTTTAATATTTTTACTACCTCCATTGTAGTTGTACAAGGCGTGGCCATTCAGCAACGCAGTTCTTGCTCGCTTGCTCTCTTCCTTTCTCCCCTTCCCTTTTTCTCCCCTCTCCTTCCTTCCCCTCTTTTTTCCATTTTTTTCCTTCCCTTCCTTTCCTTTTTGTGCCAGTCCTGGGTCTTGAATTCTGGGCCTGGGCACTTTCCCTGAGCTCTTCCTCTCAAGGCTGGCGCTCTACCACTTGAACCACAGCTCCACTCCCGGTTTTCTGCTGGTTCATTGGAGATCAGAGTCTCACGGACTTTCCTGCCCGGGCTGGCTTTGAACCGCGATCCTCAGATCTCAGCCTCCTGAGTCGCTGGGATGACAGGCGTGCGACTCTGCCCCTCCCCGCCCCGCCAAGCTCTCTCAGTGCTTTGGGAGGACTCGGGCTCTGGATGCGGCCACACCCACCCGAGTGCACGCCGATGCGGATCCAAACCGGCAGGCCGGGCAGGTGCTCCAGCTCGAAGGTGCCCATGAAGCTGAGGATGTCCAGGGCCATCTTGGCGATGTCCACCGCGTGCCGGTTGCCGTTCCTCTGGGGCAGACCACTGGCCACCACATAGGCGTCGCCGATGGTTTCTACCTGGGAGAGACCCTCTCTCATCACCAGCTGCGCTGGGACCTGTTTAATCTCTGCAGGAAATTCCCCCAGAGCGTGGGCCGCGTGACACACAGACACCAAACCAAACAACAAGACGGGAAAAGTGCTGGAGCGACGTCTCCTGCGGGACCCGAGGCCAATTTCTTCAAAGCTTTGGTAATAGTCTGATTACACGAATGTTAAAACTGCTCTCAAAGATTCTGGGCCTATAAAAGTACGCCCTAATTGGCTGAAATTGCACAGGTGTGACAATTGGGTAACGGCTTATATAAGCTGAGGGGTTCTTTATCATCGTAGGATGGAATGAGCTACCCGGACAGTACTTCTCATACTCTACCTCCTGTTGGGCTAAAAATAATAATAATAATAATTTGTAGGGGCTGGGAAGGTAGCTCAGTGGTAGAGCGCTTGCCTTGCATGCCTGAGGCCCTGGGTTCGAGTCCTCAGCACCACATAAGCAAAAAAAAAAGCTGGAAGTGGCGCTGTGGCTCAAGTGGTAGAGCACTAGCCTTGAGCTGAAGAGCTGAGGGACAGCGCCCAGACCCAGAGTTCAGGCCCCACGACCGGACCCCCCCCCAAAAAAAATAATACTTTGTAGCTTTCACCCAGACAGGAAAATTAACCCCCACGGGACAGGGTGGTGGTCATTCTAACTTGGGTGTTTGTTTGTTTTGAAATTGGTGCCTAAACAACGTCCAGCCTCGGTGTGTGTGTGTGTGTGTGTGTGTGTGTGTGTGTGTGTGTGTGTGGCGGGGGGGAGACTTGAAGCTGGGTCGTGTTTCTCTATGTTCAGTTCTGAACATTTCATTCTTAACCAGGTGCCGTAGCTCACGCCTGTCATCCCAGCCACTCAGGAGGCTGAGATCTGAGGATCTTGGTTCAAAGCCAGTCCAGGGCAGGAAAATCCACGAGACTCTGATCTCCAATGAACCACCAGAAAACCAGAAGTGGCGCTGTGGCTCAGGTGGTAGAGCGCCAGCCTTGAGTGAAAGAGCTCAGGGACGGCGCCCAGGTGGTGAGTTCAAGACCCAGGATCGACAATGGGGGTGTGGGGAGCTGGGGGCCCGGCCTGTCGAGGGTGTGGGGAGCTGGGGGCCCGGCCTGTTGAGGGGGGGCGCGTGCCGTGGCCACACGTGGCCGTCCGCACCTTGTAGACGTCGTGGCGGTCCACGATGTGGTCGAAGCTGCGGTACATGTCATTGAGCATGTCCACCACCTCCATGGGCGAGCTGTACTTGCAGATGGTGGTGAAGCCCACGATGTCGCTGAAGTACACCGTCACCTCCTCGTACAGCTCCGGCTCCACCACGCCCTTCTCCTTCAGAGACTGCACCACCAGCCTGGGGGGGGGGGGGGCACGGTGGGGAGCCAGGGCCTGCGGGACGCAGGGGCCGGGCGATGGACGGCCCGGTGCCCCGAGGCCTCGGAAGGGCCCGGATGTGGGTTGCTGGGCAGCGTGGACGGTCCAGCGCTGGACCTCCCCCTCCATCATCCATTGCTCTGACATCTACTCCAGGCCTGGAGAATGGCTCATTCCCTTCCCTTCTCCTCCCCCCAGCAGCCATGCCCGACCTGGGGTGCCCTCTCCCCCTTCTTCATGAGCCCACAGTGCGGCCCACGCCTGTCATCCCGGCTCCTCAGGAGGCTGAGATCTGAGGATCGAGGTTCAAAGCCAGCCCGGGCAAGAAAATCCATGAGACTCTGATCTCCCATGAACCACCAGAAAACCAGAAGTGGCGCTGTGGCTCAAGTGGTAGAGCACCAGCCTTGAATGAAAAAGCTCAGGGACAGCGCCCAGGCCCTGAGTTCAAGCCCCACCAAAACCCAAAAACAAACAAAAAAAGAGAATATGCTAGAAGAAATGATCTATAGCAATAAGAAAACCCCCAAGAGGCTGGGCAGGTGGCGCAGTGGTAGAGCGCTTGCCCAGCGTGCATGAAGCCCTGGGTTCGATTCCTTAGCACCACATACAACAGAAAAAGCCAGAAGTGGAGCCATGGCTCAAGTGGTAGAGCGCCAGCCTTGAGCTGAAGAGCTCAGGGACAGCGCCCAGGCCCTGAGTTCAAGTCCCAGGACTGGAAGAAAGAAAAAGAAAGAAAGAAAGAAAAAAAGAAGGAAGGAAGGAAGGAAGCAAGCCCCCACCCCAAATAACAGTGGGGGGGCAGAGAGGAGGAGCAGTGGCTGGGCCCCAGGCCTGCGGGGGTGGGGAGGCTGCTGCGGAGGCCGGCCTCACCTGGGGAGCAGCATGAAGTTCAGCCGGTCGGCCCGGTCCCGCTCAGACTTGTACAGCTGCGTCCTCTCCTCCACCAGGTGCTCCAGGTTCCGAGAGTACAGCTGCAGGCGCCGGATGAGCGTGTCCATGTACGACTCGTTCTTCTGGTCGTGAAACAGGCTGCGTGGGGCGGGGGGGGGGGCGTGGAGGAAAGGGGGTGCAGAGCGACTCAGACGCCACTGAGGGGGTCACTGCCGGGCGCCGTGGCTCACACCTGTCATCCCGGCTACTCAGGAGGCTGAGATCTGAGGATCGCAGTTCAAAGCCAGCCTGGGCAGGAAAGTCCATGAGACTCTGATCTCCCATGAACCACCAGAAAACTGGAAGTGGAGCTGTGGCTCAAGTGGTAGAGCGCTCGCCTTGAGTGGAAGAGCCCAGGCCCTGAGTTCAAGATCCAGGACTGACAAAAAACAAAAAAGAAGAGCCACTCTCCTTCTTTGGACGCCGTCGAATGAAAATGATCATGGGGGAAGGAAGCAAAAAACCAGAACCCGCAGCCCCGTGTGAAGGAAAGTCCATGCCTGAGCCGTACCCAAATAACTTGGCGAGCGTGCTCTCGATTCTCTTGAAGTCCGGCCTCCTCTCGGGGTCCTCCTCCCAGCAGCTTTTGATCAGCAGGTACACCTGCCAGAAGAAAGGGGGAGCCACACACCGGAGCTCACGCCTGTCATCCCGGCTACTCAGGAGGCTGAGATCTGAGGATCGCGGTTCAAAGCCATCCCCAGGCAGGAAAGTCCGTGAGACTCTGATCTCCAGCAAATCACCAGCAAACCAGAAGTGGTGCTGTGGCTCAAGTGGTAGAGCGCCAGCCTTGAGTGAAAGAGCTCAGGGACAGATTTCAAGCCTCAGGGCCAACAAAACAAAACAAAACCAGAGGCAAAACATTACAACCATCACCACCACCAAACCCTAAGAATGGTGAATTGTGGAAGTTTCCATTTCCTACTTTGTGGGAAATCAAAACTGTCAGATAAGAGGCGATTGCATTTTTTTTTTTTTTTGGTCGGTCGTGGGTCTTGAACTCTGGGCCTGGGCGCTGTCCCTCAGCTCTTCAGCTCAAGGCGAGCGCTCTACCACTTGAGCCACAGCTCCACTTCCAGTTTTCTAATGGTTTATTGGAAATCAGAGTCTCATGGACTTTCCTGCCCGGGCCGGCTTTGAACCACGATCCTCAGATCTCAGCCTCCTGAGTCACTGGGATGACAGGCGGGAGCCACCGGCGCCTGGCTTGCATTCTTTTTTCTAAACGGGGAGAGGTCTTGTAGGAGGCGATTCCCTGAGAAATCCCCAACTCAGATAATTTTGTTGGGGGACCCCTCCCCTCAAATGCAGTCACCCAAATCCTGGGAGGAAGGAGAAGGCTGGTGGGAGACAGGGAGAGGCGCAGAGCTAAGAGGCAGTGCTTGAAGCATGGGGCCACAAGCCAAGGGATGTTAGCCACCCCCAGAAGGTTCTAGAAGAGGCGGTGTGCCTCAACCTCAGACTCTGGCCGATGCCCAGAGCCTCCAGAGGCATTTTGGGGGGAGGCGGGGGGGAGCACTCACTTCGAGCTCATTTTCCTCAGCCGTTTCCAGAAACAGGTCCGGGCGGAAGGGCTGCCCTCCGTTGTAGTTTTCCACTCGGAAAATCTTCTCTGGTGGGACGAGAGGAAATGACAAGTTTAGACACCACCCCGGGGTGGAGCTGCGGTGGGGGGGGGGGCAGGAGAGGAATGGGTTAATTTGGGAGGGCCGTGGAGAGGTCCGAGGATCATGGTTTGAAGCCAGGCCCGGGCAGGAAAGTCCCCATGAGACTCATCTCTAAAATTAAAAAGAAGAAGAAGAGGAAGCGGGGCTGTGGCTCAGGTGGTAGAGCGCCAGCCTGGAGCCCAAAAGCTCCTGGGGGACCGCGCCGGGCCCCGAGCGTGGTCTGAGCAAGTGGGAGCGTGCGCGGGTTCTGAGCCTTGCACACTGGCGTGGCCTTGCACACTCGAGGACTGGCCTCCAACGGAGAGCCTCCCATCCTCAGCCTCCCCTCTGGCCAGTCAGGGGTCAGTCAGCCCTGTTCTCCTTGTGGGGAACCCGAGGGTGGGCTGGGGGGTGGGGAGGAGGATGGTCAGGGAAGATTCTGGAACAAGGGCAGTGACACCAGACCTAGTGGTGGACACTGTCCACGCCTTCCAGAATGTTCCGACATGCTTTCAAGGTGTGGATGGAGAAGGCCAGTGTGCATGGCCTGCAGACCCCTGTCTGGCCCATACCCAGGACTCCCCAAGCCCTGCCCCAGGACTCCCCCCCCCCAGGACTCCCCCCCCACCCAGGGGCTCCCCCCCACCCGAGAGCTCCCCCCCCACCCAGGGCTCCCCCCCACCCAGGGCTCCCCCCCCACCCAGGACTCCCCCCCAGCCCAGGGCTCCCCCCCACCCAGGGTTCCCCCCCAGCCCAGGGCTCCCCCCCACCCAGGACTCCCCCCCAGCCCAGGGCTCCCCCCACCCAGGACTCCCCCCCCCCAGCCCAGGGCTCCCTCCCACCCAGGACTCCCCCCCCAGCCCAGGGCTCCCTCCCACCCAGGACTCCCCCCCCAGCCCAGGGTTCCCCCCCCACCCAGGACTCCCCCCCCCCAGCCAGGGCTCCCTCCCACCCAGGACTCCCCCCCCCAGCCCAGGGTTCCCCCCCCACCCAGGACTCCCCCCCACCCAGGACTCCCCCCCCCAGCCCAGGGCTCCCCCCCACCCAGGACTCCCCCCCTAGCCCAGGGCTCCCCCCCTCAGCCCAGGGCTCCCCCCCCAGGGCTCCCTGCCCAGCCCAGGCCCCCCCCCCCACCCAGGGCTCCCCCCCCAGCCCAGGGTTCCCCCCCACCCAGGACTCCCCCCTAGCCCAGGGCTCCCCCCCTCAGCCCAGGGCTCCCCCCCCAGGGCTCCTGCCCAGCCCAGGCCCCCCCCCACCCAGGGCTCCCCCCCCAACCCAGGGCTCCCCCCCGCCCAGGGCTCCCCCCCAGCCCAGGGCTCCCCCCCCAGCCCAGGGCTCCCCCCCCAGGACTCCCTCCCCAGGGCTCCCTGCCCAGCCCAGGCCCCCCCCCCACCCAGGGCTCCCCCCCCCAGCCCAGGGCTGCCCCCCCGCCCAGGGCTCCCCCCCAGCCCAGGGCTCCCCCCCAGCCCAGGGCTCCCCCCCCAGGGACTCCCCCCCCAGGGCTCCCCCCCCAGCCCAGGGCTCCCCCCCACCCAGGGCTCCCCCCACCCAGGACTCCCCCCAGCCCAGGGCTCCCCCCCAGCCCAGGGCTCCCCCCCAGCCCAGGGCTCCCCCCCCCAGGGCTCCCCCCCAGCCCAGGGCTCCCCCCCCAGCCCAGGGCTCCCCCCCCAGGACTCCCCCCCAGCCCAGGGCTCCCCCCTGCCCCAGACGCCCCCAGCCCAGGGCTCCCCCCCCCAGGGCTCCCCCCCAGGGCTCCCTGCCCAGCCCAGGCCCCCCCACACCCAGGGCTCCCCCCCCAGCCCAGGGCTCCCCCCCCAGGACTCCCCCCCAGCCCAGGGCTCCCCCCCAGCCCAGGGCTCCCCCCCCAGGGCTCCCCCCCCCAGGGCTCCCTGCCCAGCCCAGGCCCCCCCACACCCAGGGCTCTCCCCCCAGCCCAGGGCTCCCCCCCAGCCCAGGGCTCCCCCCTGCCCCAGACCCCCCAGCCCAGGGCTCCCCCCCCCAGGGCTCCCCCCCCAGGGCTCCCCCCCCAGGGCTCCCTGCCCAGCCCCAGGCCCCCCCACACCCAGGGCTCCCCCCCCAGCCCAGGGCTCCCCCCCAGCCCAGGGCTCCCCCCCCAGCCCAGGGCTCCCCCCCCGCCCAGGGCTCCCCCCAGCCCAGGGCTCCCCCCCAGCCCAGGGCTCCCCCCCGCAGGGCTCCCCCCCAGCCCAGGGCTCCCCCCCCCCCCCCCCGCCCCGGACCCCGCAGCCGCGCCCCTACCCTTGCGCTCGCGGCAGCTGAGCGTGTGGAAGGTCTCATCCTCCTGGCCCACCACCCCGAAGCTGTACACGTCCCCCTTCTGCGACACGCCCGCCCCGCGCAGGTGCTCCGGAGCCGTCCACAGGTCTGCGGGCGGGGCGCGTCAGGGCTGCCCCCCCCTCCTGCCCTCCCTCCCTCCGTCCATCCCTCCCTCCCTCCCTTCTTTCCTTCCCCCTTCTTTCCTTCCCTTCCTTCCCATTCCCTCCCTCCTTCCCCCTTCTTTCCCACCCTCCCTCTTTCCTTCCCTTCCTTCTTTCCCTCTCTCCCTCCTTCCCTCCCACCCTTCCCTCTCTCCCTTCCCTCCCCTCCTTACTTCCCATTCCCTCCTTCCTTCCCTTTCTCCTTCCCTTCTTCCTTCCTTCTTTCTTCCCTCCTCCCTGTCTTCCTTCCTTCCCACCCTCCCTCTTTTCTTCCCTTCCCTCCCTCTTCTCTCCTTTCCTCTTCCCTCCCTCTTTCCCTCCCTCCCTTTCCTTCCGCCCTCTCTTTCTCCTTCCCCCCTTCCCCTCCTCCCCTCCTTCCTTCTTTTCTTTCCTTTCTCTTCCTGCTTCCCTCCCTCTCTCCTTCCTTCCCTCTCTCCCTTCTTCCTCACTTCCCTCCCTCTTTCCCTCCCATCCTCTCCCTCCTTCCATCCCTCCCTCCCTCCTTCCCTCCCTCTTCCTTCCTTCCCTCCCTCTTTCCCTCCCTCTTCCTTCCTTTCCCTGCCTCCTTCCCTCCCTTCCCACCCTCCCTCCTTCCTTCCCTCCTTCCCTCCTTCCCTCCCCTCCCTCCTTCCCTCCCTCTTCCTTCCTTCCTTCCTCCCTCCCTCCTTCCCTCCCTCTCTCCCTCCCTTCCCTCCCTCCCTCCCTTCCCTCCCTCCCTCCCTTCCCTCCCTCCCTTCCACTGGGCAGCGCCCAAGTTGGGTGCTGGGGTGACATGGACGGTACAGGAAGCTCGGGCAACGCCCTGGTGACCCCCGCGACCCCCGTGCCCCTGCCCCCCCATGCCCCCGCCCCCCCCCGCGACCCCCAGTGCCCCCCCCCCGTGCCCCGGAACCCGGCCGTGCCCACCTTTCCTGGGCGGCAGGATGGAGTTGCAGCCGAAGTCTGTGATCTTCACCACCATGCGGCTGTCCACCACGCAGTTGGTGGACTTGAGCCGGCCGTGCACCTCCACCTTGCTGGCGTGCAGGTAGGACATGCCCTGCGGGCGGCGGCATCGTGTGCGGGACACACGGACACAGAGCCGCAGCCCACGGCCAGCCGGTGCCTGGCCCAGCCCCAGGCATCCCCACCCCAACCCGCCTTCCCCACATCCACGCGCCTTCCTTTGCCTTCCTGTGCTGGTCCTGGGACTCGAACTCAGGGCCTGGGCGCTGTCCCTGAGCTCTTTCACTCAAGGCTGGTGCTCTACCATGTGAGTCACAGCGCCACTTCCAGTTTTTAGGTGGCTCATGGGAGATCAGAGTCTCACGGCCTTTCCTGCCCAGAGTTGGCCTTGAACCAAGATCCTCAGATCTCAGCCTCCTGAGGAGCTGGGATTTGACTCCTATGTTGAACCCCGTCTGCAAACACCACCGCGACCCGCAATCAGGAAAGGGGCCACTACTCAAGAAAGGGGCCGGATGCTGCTGCTCCTGCCTGTCATCCCAGCGACTCAGGAGGCTGAGATCTGAGGATCTCGGTTCAAAGTCAGCCCGGGCAGGAAAGTCTGTGAGACTCTGATCTCCAAGGAACCACCAGAAAACCAGAAGTGGCGCTGTGACTCACGTGGTAGAGCGCCAGCCGTGAGTGAAAGAGCTGAGGGACGGCGCCCAGGCCCTGAGTTCGAGCCCCAGGACCAGCACAATGAATGATTGAATGAATAGAAATAAATCGAGGCCTGGTTTCCTTTGTCAGGGCGCTGGCTCCGGTGTGTGAAGGGCTGCGGTGTGAGCTCAGGGCCTGGCCGGCGGCCGGCGGCTCCGTCGCCTGGGGCTCCGTCGCCCATAGCTCCATCGCCCGGGGCTCCGTCGCCCGGGGCTCCGTCACGAGCATCCGCGTCTGCAGCCCTCACCTTGGCGATGTCGTAGAGAACGGAGATCTTAAACTCCCAGTCCATGAAGGTGCCGTCGGGGTAGGAGATGGCGTCGTCCAACACCTCCTGCGGGCGAGGGGCAGGGGCCGGTGAGGGGCCTCCAGGGGCCTGTGGTGGAGGAGGCACCAGAAGCTTCCCTCGGGCCCGGTGGCACTTGTGGGGGAAGTGGGGGGCAGGTGGGGACTCCCCGTGGACCTCAGCCTTTATGTGATACATAGATATATAATATAAAGCATAGTATAATATGGTCTATCGTATCTATCATTACGTATTATATAATAGACACTATATGATATCCATGATGTTACATATTGTATATATTATATTATATACATTATGATATACTGCATATTATATAAATTATGATACATTACATGCTATATTTAACATATTGTACTCAGTATACTATACATGACATAGTATATATTATATACACCATTGCATGTTACGTACTATATATTATATAAATTATGTATATTACATGTCATATATTACATACATTCTTATATTGTATATTATAGCATATATTATACCTGTTATAGAATGTAGTATGTAATGCATGTAATTATATATCACATGTGAATTATTTGTAAAGCCATCTCATGTAAGTTATATGTATGTACATGCACACATAGCTATGTCATATAGTATATGTGTATGTGTGTACATCTGTCACAGTAAACATCACATATATGTGTGTATGTATGTCTATATCACCTTTTACCCTACATGCATGTGTGTACATGTATCACATACTATAACAATTATGTCTATACCATAGTTGATTCTATATTGATTAATTATAATTGACATCTTTTTTTTTTTGTCGGTCGTGGGGCTTGAACTCTGGGCCTGGGCGCTGTCCCTCAGCTCTTCAGCTCAAGGCGAGCGCTCTACCACTTGAGCCACAGCACCACTTCCGGTTTTCTGGTGGTTTATTGGAGATAGGAGTCTCACGGTCTCTCCTGCCCGGGCTGGCTTTGAACCGCGATCCTCAGATCTCAGCCTCCTGAGTAGCTAGGATTACAGGCGTGAGCCACCGGCGCCCGGCTTTATAATTGACATCTTATACACGTGTATGTGTATGTCATCCATGATCACATATTACTATGTCTATTGTCATATACTAATCTATATATTATTATAATCTATATTATATACATTATGTGTATATAATATACAATGTGTTATGATATAACCTACACATTCTCTATGCTATATGTGTATTATGTGTACATTGTGTATATAACATACACACGATACAATATGTAATACATCAGGTAATCTGTGATATTATGTTATAGTAATATATGTAATGCACTGTTGTCTAGTGTAGTAAGGTAAACACGTATAACGTGCACGGTGGGCTATTCACCTATGTGAAAGTCAACTGACACGCGTGGTGACACTTGCGTGTGATGTCACACGCTGTTGGACCCCGTCTACGGACACGCGTGGCGTGGCCGGGTCCCGTGGGCTCGTGGCGTGCGCCCGCTCACCCCGCAGAGAGCCTCGCTCGCAGCACTCGATCACCGCAAACACCCTGGCGTCCAGCCGCGTGGTGCCGTAGAACTTGGTGAGGTTGTAGTAGTCAGACTGCAGCAGCTGTGAGCACGGGCGGAGGGAGGGACGGAGGGACGGACGGAGGGACGGACGGAGGGAGGGACGGAGGGATGGACAGACGGAGGGAGGGATGGAGGGAGGGACGGAGGGAGGGATGGAGGGAGGGACAGAGGGAGGGACGGAGGGAGGGAGGGTGGGCGGGAGCTGGGCTCAGGCTCCATCCTGGTGCCTGGGGGACCCTGGTGCATGTTTGTATCAGTCCTGGGGCTTGAACTCAGGGCCTGGGCGCTTCAAAGCAAACTGTATACCAACTCCACCCACTTTCCAGAAAAATCTAAGGCCTGGTGTAGAGCACACCAACCCCGGGCCAAACTGGTTTAGCCATCAGACATCTCGATTTAACATGGACATTATTTTCCTGGTAGAATTGTTTTTGTCTTTTTTTTGTCGGTTGTGGGGCTTGAACTCAGGGCCTGGGCACTGTCCCTGCGCTCTTCAGCTCAAGGCTGGTGCTCTATCACTTGAGCCACAGCGCCACTTCCGGTTTTCTAGTGGTTTATTGGAGATCAGAGTCTCACGGACTTTGCTGCCTGAGCTGGCTTTGAATCGCAATCCTCAGATCTCAGCCTCCTGAGTAGCTAGGATGCCAGGCGTGAGCCACTGGAGCCCTGCTCCTGGTAGAATTTTTGACATGAAGCAAGGGGCCCAGGGTTGGGAGGTC